TTTTTTTTTTTTTTTTTTTTTGTATATTTAAGAGAGATACTTTATTGAATTTAAAAGTAGGTTTAACAATTTTTTTCTTATTTTTCATTTTTTAATTTCTTGATGAAAGAGAAGCTCACAGATTATGTGTGTTTTTAAAAAGATAGTCAACGTTGATTGCATAAAAATTATACTCGCGGTGAATCTGAATTTTTTGATAACGACAAAGCAAAAATCCATATTAAACTATCGATTCGATAATTCGATTGATTCGTTCGTTTGCAGTATATATTTTTTAGAACGAGATTTAGTTTCAAAACTAAGTTTATTCCACTGGACGTATCGTAAATAATAGCCATTTTGAATATTAGATTGGAAGAAAATAATCGATCAATTAAAGGCAAAGAAAAATTTAAAATAATAAATTCATCAATCAAATTGATAAATTTTTCGATCGTTTCAAAACATTCATTTCAAAAATATTATTTATCGATCAATCTCATCTTCACATATATTATATATAATCTATCGAAAATATAAAATATTTTGAGATTTAAACAATTTTAAATAATTAATTTTTATTATAAATTACTATTTTACTAAAATATCGTCCTATATAATGTGTACTCTCAAAACATAATGATTATTATTCTAATTATACTCACAAAATGTACTTTTGATTAATCATTAATTAATTGATGTATCGTTCGTTGTACGCCAAAAGTAAACACAAACATGATATTAAGTTATTATTATTGGCAACAATATTGTATACATAATTAATCAAACGTGCACCGTAATCGTATGATATATTCAAACATTTTCAGACATCGAATAAATATATATTTATAAATCAAAGCTTAATAATTCTAATACCGATAAAAAAAATCTCTTCCATGTTAGGCAATGGCTTCCATTGTTTCATCTCCGATGAGACGAATATTTAGCGCGTATATCGGAGTTGGCTCGGTTTACGTCGCAGTGGCTAGTTATGGGGATTATTCTGCGGCCTATATCCCGATATTTTCATACGGCTGTAATCCCACAATCGATCCTGTATCATGTGACATTTTATGTACGTGTTCCATTTCATCCATAACACAAGAAAAACATGATAAGTTCATTTTTTATTTTTTAATATTGATATCACTTGTTGAATTTAATATATATCACTATGTATTTTACGATTAAGAAATATGTTATTAGAGACAATTGTGATACACAAATTGTACATAAAATAATTATCATGTTTTTCTTTTATACATTTTATATACATACGAGAAAATCATCATTGATAGCATTCCAAAAAATTAATCGTTCTATCGTATCGTTATTTTCAGCCGGGGGTGTTTTGAAGTTTATTTCTGCCATTTGTTTCTTCGTGGGATTATTTTTTACATTCATGGGTCATCATGTCTCTAGAGTTGAAAAAATGTTTCCTATATTTTTCATTGGAAGCGTAATTGGATATGCCATAGAAGGTATGTATATACGACAATATTTTTATTATTTTTCTCATACTCTTCTTGTCATAAAATTATATATATATATATGTATAGAAAACAATAAAATTTTTTCACTTATAAAAAAATTTAATAAAATAATAAAAAAATAACAGCATATAATTTAAATACAATAACGATTGTCTATCTGGATATCTGTTGTACATTTTATCTATAGAAAAACAAAAACAATAAAATTAAAGACAACTAAATACAATATTATTATCATACCATTGTCCCGTTTGTTTCAGGAAACGTTATAACTGGCCTGGCGATAGGTTTGCTCTTCAACCTGTTGTCGTTAGTATGTCCGTACTCCACAGAGAATCGTAGCGGTGCATTGCTGGTCAATATGACTCTGGGCTTGTTCTTTGCGTGCGTTGCTTACTTACACTCCCCAGGTACGGAAGGGGCTTGGCATCTCTTGAAGGGCACGCACGAAATACCGATAGTAAACGTATCCGAAAAGCGATTCAATGCATGTCGCTTGAGGAAAGATCAGCAGGGGTTGTAGTAAATTATAGGAAAATAATGGAAGCCGGCTTAAAAACGGACGAGAGGAGTGTAACGGGAAAAGAAAGGGGCATGAGACAGAAGCGAGAGAGCAAGCGAGCGAGAGAGAGAGAGAGAGAGAGAGCGAGAGCTCACCGCCCCCGAAGTTAGTTCGAGTTTGGTGAAGGGATGAAGTACAGTCAGAGAGTCCCCCTGTAGCTTTTATCAATGTTGCCCGCTCATGTGGAAACTTCGTCTGCCGAATCCCCCACAGCCGCACAACATTCGCGTTACCTCCTACCTTTCTCACCATAACCACCCTCCACCATCTCGGCACATACACGCATAAACACGCGCACAATAAAAATCATGGCTCGTACACACAGGGTAAAGCAGGGCCCCTGCGCCAACTCTCACGAAGCGAGATCTAACCAGCTTGAAAGATTCGCATTTACCTAATTGTGTCCCCCGTATTTATTTAGCTCCGAGACCTATTTAGATTACACGGTCTATGCATGCGTAACTGCACAGAGTATCGGTCCCCGTCGACAGATGATCGAGTTGGCCATCCTCTCTCCCGCCCAACGTCTTTTGGCACAGTTTGATCACGTTCTCCGTGGTTTATGTAATCACGTACGTCTCGTGGAAATGATTATAAACTTTCACGAATGGTATTAAGCGTACGAAAGAAAGAATTGTTTCGTGATGTTGAGATGTATTTTTTTTTTTTCTCTTTTATAAAGTTTTTTATATATTCGTTTATATATGTGTATATAAAAGTAAGGATAGAGGAATTTCGTGAAAGATTTTTGCGAGAATACAATAATGCATTTATTATTTAATATTACTTATTTCAAATTCTCTCTCTCTAATTTTGTTTCTTTCAGGTTCATTTATAATTCTGCAGAACAATATGGTGTTTTGGTTACTATTTCTGACATTGACTCTCAGTATAGCTCTTGTCACGACATTTAACTTTTATTCTCACATTACGTGTTCCATATTTTCATCCTTCATGATAATCCTGCCGATTGATTATTGGGTTGGTTCTTCTTTGAAATATATTATGATAAATATTGTAAGACGAGCAACTGTGGAGGATTTTAATCTAGCTATTGTTCGACCTCCAATTCAGACTAAGGGTATCATCTTTTTTATATCATGTATATCATTTAAGAATTGTTGTATTTTATTTTACTGGATTTTTATTTTATTCAAATTTAATTATATATTAATTATATGGGTGATATACACAGAATCGTTAACAGATAACATGTTAATAATAAAATGTTTTGAAACAATATGAAATATATATGGTCTTTCAGATATATGGTTGATTGTATTCTGGACCTGTTTGGCGTTCTATCACTTTTATAAACATCGCCAAAATCAATTATTATTAAACCAGACAGAAACAATTACAGAAACAACACCATTGGGGAATCAATATTAACGAATCATGTTCCAAATGTAATTACTACAATTACGAATGATACAGTTCACAATTTTTCATATACAAGGATTGAATTTTAGGTATTCTATTTATATATATATATATATTTTATTCAAAAGAATATAAACAAATTTAATGTACGTTTATGATTTTATATTTATAAAATAATATTTCAAAGGCTAAATTGATCGAAACATTTTACAATGTAACGACAATATACATCAAAGATACTTAAGTGATCTCTCATATCTATGATTTATATTGATAATATTTTTTAATTAATTTTAATTGTTATTTTTATAAATTTTATACCAAATATATAATTTTATACCAAATATATTCAAATATGATATAATTATTTCAAAAAAATATTTTTACATATTATTCTTTCCATTTATCAATCACTGTAATTCATATATAAATATAAAAAATAAATTCTCCTTTTACATATATAATCATTTCTTAATATCAACCAAATTTTTGCTAGATTTTTTATTCCTTTTTATATTTTTCGAAATACACGTGATAAATATCTTTAATTAATAAATACGTAAAAAATAAAAGCATAAATATTAATTTCTCATTTATTCAATTGTTTCGTCTTTCTTTACTAGCTTAAACCGTAAAGTGTTTATTATTCAAATATTTGAAAATGAAGCAAACAATGCAATTATTTCGCTTGTATCGGTTAAACGTTAAAACCAAGAGGCATCGAACGTTGAGCTCTCCATCCGCAAATCGGAAACAAAGAAACGGGAAAAATAGAATTACTTTGAACTATAAAATAGTGTTTCGAATTAATGATAGTAATTACTTTGTAGACTTTTATTTCGTTTAAAAGAAAGTTTACATATAAATAATTTAATAATTTTCAATAGCATATACGTATAAATACGTACTCGGAATATAAAGGATCCAAAGGATAACGATGAAAGGTTTGAAGTGTTTATTGAACAAAAAAAAAAAAAAATGACGCCAGATGACTTGCGTTGTCATTAAAATGAAATAACATTTATTGAATCGAGACAGTGACACCTAACAGTGGTTTTCTATATCCTACTACTTACAATCTTAAAGGTAATCACAGCAACAATATTATCTCCATTATTCACAACACTTACGTAGATTACTGTCGCAATAATATATTATTCTCGTTAATAAATTTGTTAATACTCATACACTGTATTCGTTATCAGTATTTATTATTACAGATAATAAGAAAACTGCGTGACCACTTCCGCGTCACCGCCCTCGGATCTGTCTGAAGATTCACAGGATCGTTCGCAATGTGAATCAAAGACATTCATCTTCATCTTCCAATAACATCACTGAAATGGAACTTGCACCTATCTTTAAACATGCAATTTATCAAAACAACAAACAAAATAAAGATAAAATTTACGCGGCAACGAATCCAACGAATCAAATTCCATTTCGGTGTATTATAAATTTTTTTCAACGATTTTCCATACAAATTCCATAGAAATCGTCGATTGTATTTTGTTCTTGTATACAACGTATACATTTTTCACCAAGCATATTTTTTATCTTCGCGAGGAAGGATAAAGTCGGCCAAAAAAAATAAAGTAGCTCGACGAAGCCATTTTTATAATACCCTTTTGGCGCCCTCTGTAATCTTACAGAAATTCCTTTCATTTCTATATTCATATCAAGGTACACGATATTCATCAATTCTTTCAATGAAAAAAAAAAAAAAAAAATCGATAAAAAATTCTTCACCAGACACGATTCAAATTCAAAATCGCGAATAAAATAAATTCAAAGAGAGAAATACATTTCGAAACATTCTGTTCGAAAATTCGAGAGGATTAAAAAGTGAAAAAAAAATCGAAGGTAACGATTCACGAACACCTTTGGTTCCCTTATNGCGATCTTTTTTGCCCCTAAATTCGGCCAATTAATCGGCCTGCGTTGCGTCCTCTTTGTTTTGCTCCATTTTTTAGTTTTATTTTTTCTTTTTTCTTTTTTTTTTTCTTCATCCAAAAATATAAATTTACTAATGTACATTACAATCCCCGTTCGCCGTGGAAAACGTTCAAACGAATTGCGGTACACCAGCAGCTTGCGCCGCGTGTCGACATCGTAGGAAACGTTGCGCGTCTTTCCTAACAGACGGAACACGATTTATTCTTACATTATTTATTTATTTATTTATTTATTTATTTATTTTTTATTCTTCTCGTTCGTGCCTCGTCTACGCGACTCGACGCACAATATATCGTTAAATTACCCTATTGACTGTTAACAAATCGTTATTAGCTCGTCACCTACTGACAAGAGAGAGAGAGAGAGAGAGAGAGAGAGAGAGAGAGAAAGAGAGAGACTTGACGCGACTGACTGTTATTCGGCACAAAAGTTTTTTCTCGAGGAAGAAGCTGTTTTTTTTTTTTTTTTTTTTTTATCAGAGATTCTAATTAAACGGATGCTTGTTGCGTAACACTCATATACACATGCTCGAGGAGTATATGCTTGGGCGAAGGGAACAAAATGTGAACCGGGGGAGTCTTGGAACGGCGATTCTTGCGTCCGATCATCGGTTTTAATATCATAAGGTCCTCGTAAAATGTCGTTAATACGATCGTATCGTATTTTACAATGTAAATACACGTCGATTTATAAATATGCAATATGTTTATACGTGAATTATAAGTGAATCTCTTACACTTATCTAATTTGTTTGAAATAAACGAAAGTTGAAGCTCGTTAAAACTTTTTAATAATAATAATTATAACATGGATTGTAATAATGTATTTGATGAAAATTGTAGATAGGTCATATTTATAAAACATATTTTGGCTTGAAATGTAACTTAATTTTAATTTAATCGGATTGAAGATTGCTAAATAATAAATTGTGCACGTATTTAAAATTAACGTCGATATTTGATTTCAGTTATGCTAAAGTAAAATTAAAAGTTTTATTATCCTTGGATATATATATATAAATCACACTAATCACGATGGTGTAACCCTTTATATTTCGTTCATTTTAACCAAATTACTTTAAAAACTTCCACGATATTCTGACAATCTGTAACATAGGCTTTCGAAAAAATCGAAGTTTCAAGTTATTACCTATAATTCAATGTTATCTCTCCTCGCATCAGATACGAATCGAAAATAAAAATTCAAATACGACTCGTACGCGAATAATTGTTGTAAAAACACGAAATAGCATTATTTATTAATTATCTTTTGCTTGATAATTTTTTGAATAATTCCACTTGGATAACTGATCAATTTGCAATGTATGTGTACTCATCATCCGAGAAACTTTCCATAAATCTCACAAAACAAACGTATATACGCATTAATTTCAATTCTCTCATTCTCTTTTCTTTTATATTCAGCAAAACATAAAGAAAAACTCTGAATTCTATTTCACTAATATTGGAATTCAATTTCGATAATTCTTCACGACTACCTGTAATTTAAATTTCAATTTTTGAACAACATTTATCCAAAGAAAATTCTATATTCTCAAACCATACATAAAAATTAAATATCGATTCTCCACAAAATGTCTATTTTACAGAATTCCAATTTTTGATTAAAGTTTATCCAAAAACAACTACTTCGAATTCCGATCACAACCGAGATCTGAATTAAATTTCGATAAACGTCGAGATATTTATATCCAACTTCCGAGTAAAATCATCAACCATATAGATCGCATAAATTCTTCGATCTCCTCGTCAGTCATTCTCACACGCCATCCATGATTGATTCTTCATCTTGACATAATTCTGGACAAAGACGAGAAGCAATCCTCGAAGACGTAATATACTCTTTTTTCCAAATAAGCTGAGAGCTTATAATCGAGCATAAAGAGCAGGGAAAACAGGGGAGGGAGGGGAGAGTGAAACGCGTGTTTTACGGGATAGTTGGTCGGTCGTTTTATCGCGGTGAGCCGCGTGAAACGGATGTCGCGAGCGGAACCCCCTTCCTCCCCTCCCTTCCCCCTCTCCACCCGTTCGCGTGTGTCGCGTGCACCGACGAAAATCTCTCTCGAGTGGTTTTCGCGGTCGCGCTTGCGCGTCCTTCCCGCTTTTTCCGTCCCTCCACTTTCGACCCGCTAATGCGATTAATTAGAAATTTTATATCGCGTAAAAAGCCTTGTCTCTGAGGTAGCGCATCGTGTCTGTGTGTGTGTGTATATATATATATCAAATTACCCTGTACCGTAATTTTCCCACTTTTACGCGACACTTTTCCACGTGGCGCGCGTGCTTTTAGACGGACGGGGGGTTGGTGTCTCTCCTTTCGGTGGTGGAGATGAAAATTTATTTTCGCTGGTGAAAGTTTCGATTTCGTGATTCGACCCGAGATTCTCATCGTTCCATTCGATCTGGAGAGAAAAATTCTCGCGATTCTCGCAACTAGTGGCGAATTAATTTTCAACTCGCGCGTCGAACTTTATTGTT